ACCAACAGAATGAAATTCGATAAGGACAAGTGCCAAGTCCTCCACCTAGGAGAAAGAAACCAAAGGCATTGATACAAGATGGGGAATATGTGGCTCAACAGAACGGAACAAGAAAAAGATCTTGGAGTAATTGTGGACTATAGGCTAAACATGAGCCAACAATGTGATGCAGCTGCCAAAAGGGCAAATGCTATTTTGGGATGCAGCAACGGAAGTATTACTTCCAAATCACGAGAAGTAGTACTTCTTCTATCCTCCACACTAGTCAGACCTCACCTGGAATACCGTGTCCAGTTCTGGGCACCAAGATTTAAGAAAGATGCAGGTAAATTAGAAAGGGTCAGTGGAGGGCAACAAAAATGATCCAGGGTTTGGAAACACTGCCCCATGAGCAGAGTCTGAGGGAACTGGGCATGTTCAGCCTTGAGAAGAGAAGGCTGAGGGGGACATGGTATCCCTCTATAAGCACCTCAAAGGCTGCCACAAAGAGGAAGGCCAAGATCTCTTCTTGCTGATGCCAGAGTGCAGGACACAGAGTAATCAGTTCAAGTTGCAACAACCCAGATTCAGGTTGGACATCAGGAGAAGCTCCCTCACTGTCAGAGCAAAACGCCAGTGGGACCAGTTGCCTGGAGGGGACACTCAAAGAGTACCTGGGCAGCCCTCTGAGTGGGATGGTGTAACCTGGTGTCCTGCAACAGCAGGGGGCTGGACACGATGGCCTTCATGGCCGCTTCCAACTCTTCTACTCTATGATTCTAGTGGTGAGAGTTAGTAATTCCCTCAATGACTTGAACTTGGGAGGAATGGCACTAATGGCGGGAAAAAGGGGTGTTCTCTTTTTTAGCCTCCACACCGGAGAGGGGAGGAGTTCAAATGCAAAAGGAAGGCTTACATCTCTCCAATCTACATGCAAAGATCCATTGGAGCCCTGCATGCTTCCTTCTAAAAATGAGAGAAAGAGTAAACCACACAGCATATCTCATGTATCTTGCTGTTTAGCCTGTATGAAGATTTAAATTTTGCATCCCCGGCTAAGGTTTTTCAGACTAATGAGTCTTGATATTTCTAGGCTAAGCTCCTCGGCAGCTATTGTCAAGCCCAAAAGTTCACACAATACCCCTTGGCGGTGGGGTGGGGGTAGAAAATCTGGTCGTGCATATGAAATGCACCGAGGACCAATTCTGAGCTCAGAGAAGAAAGCACAGCGCTCCCCACTGCTCTCCCACTGTGTCTGGGACATATCTGAGGACTTGGTCTATAGCGGCTACCAGATAAGCCGCTTAGCTAGCCCTCTCCCCACAAAATACCAGTCCCCACATATTGATACACAGGTGGCGATAGGGTTTGCACACAGAGTAATAAATACTGTCCCAGGCTTGCCTCCGGTTTCCAAATCTGAAGTTATCGACCCGATTGTGCATCTTAAATCAGGCAAAGCACCCGGCAGTGAATTGTTGCCATTATTTTATTTATTTATTTATTTATTTATTTATTTATTTATTAAAACATTTCTATGCCGCCCCTTGCCAAAGCCTCGGAGCGGCTTACAACATCTAATAGAATACACAATAAATTAAAACAATAAATTTTGTTGTTTATTGGAACAATGGAACCCGGGCTGATGGGCACCAGTTCTGGCAGCCCTGTTTCCCCACGGTGACCATTCAGGATGCATCTCAGCATTCTGGGGGCTTGCAATAATTATCCCCGATTTACAAAAAAGGTAAAAGGTTGGATTCATCAGACTATAGACTGGTTACCTATTAAGCATTATTAGTAAATCGTATGCTTTTCATCTCCCTGAAAAATTCATTTGCTGAATGGAACAAGAAAATATAGCTGAGGAGCAAGCAGGATCTAGGGCTGGGTGACTGTGTATAGATGAGGGCTTTGTCCTCCAGCATCTTGTTGAAAAACACACAGCAGCACCTAGAGAGACTCTTTACGCAGCCTTTGTTGACTTTTGATTGCGAGAGCTAAAATATGGGGAAAATTTGAAGCAAATTTTCTCAGGGCTGTTGAAATTATTTGCTGCAAATTCATAGCAAACTTAAGTGATTGTAGCCCGAAACAGTGCTGGCATAAGGGATAAAAGGTAAAGGTTTCCCCTTGATGTAACGTCCAGTCATGCCTGACCCTTGGGGGCAGTGCTCATTTCCGTTTCCTGGCCGAGGGAGCCAGCGTTTGTCCGCAGACGGTCTCCGTGGTCATGTGGCCGGCACAACTAAACACCGAGGTGCACGGAACGCTGTTACCTGCCCACTGAAGTGGTCCGTTTTTATTTACTTGCATTTGCATGCTTTCGAACTGCAAGGTTGGCAGGACAGCGATTCCATCAAGCCTCTTTTTATCCAATGTCTGTTCCCCAAGACCCAGCTGGCTTTGAGTGGCGCTGGGGGTGAGGAGCAGCCCTGACCCCTTGCAAGCCATTCTTTGTCAGTTCCTTTCTGGACTAGTCTGGCAGGATGCCTCAAGGGTGGGCTCATTCTTTGCCCCACCACTGTTGCTACCAGCTGATGCTGAAGGGGGCTGCTCGTGCGTGGCTCCCTGGCCAACATCAGAGGTGGAAGAGGGAGCTGTTGGCTCGTTCTAGGAAACCATGTCTCCATGGAAGGCAGTGGCTGAAAACAGCGCTGTTCCAGTTGCCTGGCGGACCTGTGTGGTGCATAGAACCTTTCCAGTGAAGAAGGGAAGCCCCTGAAGAAAGATTCCAGGTGGAAGCCTGGAGAGCTCGATTAGACCCCCTCCTGGTTGCCCCCAAGCCTTCTCTCGCATTCTCCTCTGCACAGGCTGGGGGCAAATAGCTCCCCCTGCTACACCCCCCACGCAAAGGCAAGCCTCCCTTTCTGCGCCACTTCTGGCAAAAGGGCCAGTGTCCCTTTTTTGATGGTGCCTGCTCTCTGGTGGCCATCGCCGGTGATTCACCCTGATAATTCAGCTGAAAGGGAAGAATGCTGCTTTTGCAGGCACTTGCACTTGCCCTAAATAATTGCAGTTCAGTGGAAAGCTTTTCTGCACTGCCAAAACGCAGGACAAATTTCATGACCGCACAGGAACTTGAACGGAATTACTGCAATAGAAAACTCCTGTGTGTTACCCAGCGTGAGGGGACTTGCATGGCTGCAGTGGGGCAGAGAAGACCTGGCATCAGCAGCGTCGGCTGCATCAGGAAGAGGCTTGATGAGCTGAGCTGAGATTCCTTATCACAACAGACAGTTCTGCACAAACTCAGCGTTTGGCTAGGAAGACTAATTGTCCAGAGAGTCTGTGCAGTGGAAGACGAGCATGTGTCTCTTCCTGTCCGAGGGCGAAATGCTGCACTCGTCCGCCTCTTTCCTTCTAGGGATTAGCAAGAGGACCAGCTTTGCTCTTCTGAAAGCCTCTTTATGACACAGAAACAAAAGTAGAGCTTCCATTTTCTCCAGCCTTGTGTTTTCCCTCAGAGGCTCTTTGCTTATTTTCAAGTACTCATCTGCTTTTCTTTTTTGCCACTTCGTATATTCTGTTAATAAAATCTTTCAGTTTGGACCTCAGGTTTGAGCAAGCTGCTCCGACTACCTTTCCATACTGACTTATTTGCTTCCAAGAAATAGGGAGTGGAAAACGGGGGTGGCATAACGTAGTGTCTTGCAGTCGCAGGGGGTTGGACCTGATGACCTTCTGGCCCCTTCCAGTTCTACTGTTCTGTGACCAGGCTCTTCTCCTGCAGTGGCAGCATCTCTCAGCTGGTCGCTTCCTCGTCCCAGGCAGATAGGGATGCTCCGGGGTCCCAGGAGCTAGGCAAATGCACTGCACTGAGGCTCCCCGAGAAAATACATTTGGAGACACAAGGCTGAAATTCAGAACTGCTTGAATTGTGACTCGGGTGAGGAGCTGTTGATCTCAGAGTGGACTGGAAGTGAAGAAGGGACATCACAACCAAGAGGCAGCCCTCATATTGGGAAATGGGGATGAAATGAGTCAGTGCTACTCTTTCAGACTTAAAAGTACACCTCTTTAGGGTCCTAGAAACCACTTCACCAGTTGGCTGTCTCTATTACATTAAAATATATTGGAAGGACTGTTCCTCATGAGAGCTACAGCTCAGAGGCAGGTACTGACCACACCATTCAGCATGAACTCCAGTTTAACAATTCAGAAAACAGCCTGCTTCAACCCAGTCCAATCTTGGCTGTTTCGCAGGCTGCTGATTCAACTTGGCTGAACCTGAATCATGACTGAAAGCTGAAGCTTTGTTCCTCCCATTGAATATAATTGGGAATATCATCATCATCATCATCTTGTTTAACATTTGCACAAAGAGCAGCCCCTTGTGAGGGGACGAACACTTCCAAATCTGCCCGAATCAAGCACACCCGCCTGGCACGGTCCAGAGTAGCTGTTCCTGGGCTGCACTTGGGCAGTGAGGCTTTTGGCCTGGAGAGCCTCCATTCGCTCCCTCTTTGATGGTTCTCTGCTGCCACGTGGAGCACATCATTCGACGCACATTTGGCTTGTCAAAGCATTGATGAATGTTTGTAGCCCAGTTCACTGCTGTCTGCCAGCCGGCACACAGCCAGAGGGGATGGAAGGTGTGTATGTGTCTGTTGGTAAACATGCTACATCAAAAATGCTGGTTCGACACAGAGTGGCCATCTCAGCTCAAGAACCTGTAAACGACTGTGAGCAGAGAATGACGAGCATGTGATCAATGCAGAAAAGCCTCCAGCTGGGGGAACATACAAACCTGCCAGAGCCGAACTACTGACCTGGTCAACCCTGACTAGATGCAGCAATTGCAGGCAGTATTTCCTGCCCAACCTGGAGATGCTGAAGAAGGTCGACGAATTGCTGAGTGAGTTGGCAGACAGGTCGTGTATAAGTGAAATAAGTGATTATTGGCGCTGCTTGTGAGGGAGCTCAGGGGATTCTTCTGCCTGTCCTACACTGAGGGAAAACAGGAGAGGGTCCCAGTGGGTCCTTCAACCGCACAAGGGAGAAATTATGCTGAAACAAAAGATCAATGCATTCTTTCATTTGCTTTGTGAGCTGCTAATTCAGGAAGGAAAATTATTCCAGATGTTAATCCTTTCAAGATTCAGAGGTAAAAGAGCAGCATTGCAGACTCCAGTAACTGTGTGGAAACACTCCAGCCGGTGTGTGCACCGTAGCCGCTCCAGTCGAAGCTAGTGTAGTCCCCACACTGCCGCGGATTTCCTTCGGGGAAATAACCTCCTCCACCAACACAGGTCTGAAAAGAAGAGAGGGAGGCTTGGCTTTTGGACTATAGAATCTGGAGACGACAAGATGCAATATTGCTAGTGCCAGACCTTACCCTTTTGTTCAGCTACTCACATGTTCTGTGTCACATCCCTTTGTGACTTTTACCCCAGCGCACAGAGCCATGGCAGCTTTCTCATTATTAAACACCCGAAACTGGATGAAGCCAGGTTCAATACCACCTGAAAAACATTTTTAAAAGACAGAGCAGGGCATTTGCAGCATAGACTTCTCTCAGTATTCCAAGAGCTTGGTAAAAGGTAAAGTAAAGGTTTCCCCTTGACATTAAAGTCCAGTCATATCTGACTCTCGGGGGCGGTGCTCATCTCCGTTTCCTAGCCGAGGGAGCCAGCGTTTGTCCGCAGACTGTCTCCGTGGTCATGTGGCCGGCTTGACTAAACACCGAAGTGCACAGAACGCTGTTACCTGCCCACCGAAGTGGTGCCTTTTTATCTACCTGCATTTGCATGCTTTCGAACTGCAAGGTTGGCAGGAGCTGGGACAGAGCAACGGGAACTCACCCCGTCGTGCAGATTCGAACCGGAGACCTTTTGATCAACCAGCACAGCAGTTTAACCCACTACGCCACCTGCAGTCCCTAAGAGCTTGGTAGTGGGTAGCTAAAACTGAAATGTAATATACCTGGTTCAGGTGAGGTGTTATAGCAAGTTGTGCTTTGCACTAAACATAGCTGAGAATGCCAAACCATAGCCCACGCTTACAACTATGATTCAGCGCTCAGTTTCCCAGGTTTGTATCTACATCATTCAGCAGCTTCTTGAGATGGAATAATGGCCATGATTCTATGATTCTATTTTTATCAATGTAAGATATTTTTACTCTGCTCTTCAGCTGACAAGTTTTCCTGGGCAGCCTAAATAAAACCAGTGCAAGAAAAAAGGCTGCACCAAACAACAGTGTATTCCAAGATCACCCCACAAATGAATGTTTGCAAAGTTACCAATTCTGATTTGTTGGGCAATCACGAACTATGGTTCACCAGTTCAAATATCTCACTAAGACACAGTTTGTGCAAATCATTGCTTAGAACATGAACCAGTTTGAGTTTCAGCTGAACAACAGAGAAACCATGGTTTAGAGCTATTGCTCAGCTTTTATTCCTGATCTGTTCAGCACTCCTGAACATACAGAATCAGGAAGCCGCCTCATGCCAAGACAGATCCTTGGTTCATATCTCTGTCAACTCTGGCAGGCAGCAGAACTCCAGGGTTTCCAACTGGCCTTTTCCAGCCCTGCCTGGATGTGCCATGGACTCAGCCCAGGATCCCTCGCACACAAAGCTCTGCCACTGAACTACTCCCACATTTATGCCATCATAAATTTGATCTTAAAGAGCCACAAGACTGTTGGTTGTTTTGCTGCAATCCACCAATGTGCCAACCCTTCTGAAAATAAATTATTTTCTGCATCACTCTATATGGGAGGATTGAGAATGGGGCACTTCTAAGGAGCAAGGGAAAGCACGGATTTGTCACCATTCACCCAGATGGCCTTAATCAGTGAAGAAACGTCTCCTGAAACTGGTGATAACCACTCAGGTAATCGCCACCCTGTTCAGCTTTTTTTCCTCCAGTAAGTTGGAATGGGGCAGGGGAAATTAGCATTTCAGTTTTAAATGTGGAATTTCAGTGCATTCTTTTTTCTTCAGAACTGAATTTCAGGACTTGGACTCTTTGTAAGATATCTACTCTGGTTTATGCTCATCTTCCCCACCAAAACTATTTAAGTCAGCAGAAGAACTCTGCCAGTGACGCGGAGCACATAACCTCATGAAGCAAAATTATACTTCGTGCATTCGGAGAGTACAAGGAAGACGTCTGCTCGGCGTTGCCTGCATCATAGACGACCGGTACTGCTGGGCCATTGTCAGTTGGACAGCTGCCCCCGCCAAACTTCACTGGATATCGCTGGAAGGAAAATAAATGTCAGAGAAAATGCAAAAGCTGGGAAATACCTATAAATACAAGAGCAGATATAGCACTAACATTTGGAATAATGACCCAGATCATCCCCTTATTCAGATGATGGCAATGTCTTCAACAGCGCCACTGGCAAAAACGGCAGGACCCAGCCCTCACAAGAGAGATCGGAAAACCATCTAGGCGCCTTCATCTCCATTTCTAGGATCGGCCCAAACAAACTAGTTCCTCACTCTTGTAGAAACTGCAAGTAGCCTCAAGGTGCAATTTAATTAGGCAATGATCTCCCCCTGACAACAATTAAAACTGGCAGCACTACCTGCAGTTCTTTCCTGCCTGTTCCGCTGAAGAACATCACATCCAAAACGTACCCAGCCAATCTGATACGATTTAGAAAGCCATGGCAGACAAAGGCAGGCAAGGTGTACGGGTAAATGTTTAAATCCCCCAAAGTCATGAACCTCAGGGGTCCTCAAAACCATTTCTGAGACCACCCTTGTCAGTCTGACCTCTTGGAGTAGCCATCTCTCATTCCCACCTCTCCAAGCCCCTCCAGGTGTCTCAGTTTATTGCGTGAAATGCCAAACGCAACGCCCGCTCTTCCCGACAGCTGCAGCTCTCAAAGCCCCGACGAAGCAGAAGCGCTGGCCCAGGCAGCTGACTTACTTGGAACAGCTGGAGAAGATTGCCTCCTTCGTTAGCTAAGAATCCAGTTTCGGTGTGATATCTCAGGAAGGCCGCAGACATCCATTTCTTCAAAGGGGTGCCATTGGGGACGTGCCATATAGCCAGATTCCGAGCTTCAAGGTCATAGTAGCCAGGATTCTAGAAAGTAAATTCTTCCCCCATTAGATTGTTCCTTTTGCTAAATTTAATACCAAGTTGCTTTGTTTTTATGATGTTTTGTTGTTGTCTTGCTTTATGTTCAACTTTCTTTTTCATAATTATATCTTGATTTTCATAAAGTGATTTTTCTTGGACTGTGTAAGCCATTCACCCTTTCCTTCAAAGAAAAATGGAGCATACATTTTTTACAGTAAAGCAGCTGCCAGAATATTTCATTTAAAAATAGTAATAATGTGCTATCAGAAGTGAAGTCTAAAATTGACTTACACCAGCCAAACCAGTATATACCTTGGCTCTAATATAGTGCAGCTTGTAGTTTCATCCAAACTGGGAACTGCAGTTAATTTTACTAATGCTTTAATTGAAAGGACCAGATCAGAAATTCCTTCCTGGAGCTGACTTGGACAAACTATAATTTAAACCATGGGTAGGAAACACAAATCCCAGAAGCACCTCACTGTATGGGCCCCCACCACCGGCAAAAAGAAAAGAGAAAAAGAAAAATGTGTTTTCCTGCTGGATTTCAATGCCAAATTCAATGAAAACAAATCTGAGCCAGTGTGGTGTAGTGGTTAAGAGCATGGTTCTGGGGCTCAGGCAACCGGGGTTCTAGTCCCTGCTCAACCATGGAGCCAACCGGGAGATTTTGGGCCAGTCCCAAACCCTCAGCTCAACCTACCTCACAGGGTTGTTGTTCAGGGGATAAGACTGAGAGTAGGAGGGGTATTATGTAAGCTGCTCCGAGTGCAAAGGGGGAAAAGCGGAATATAAATTTAATAAACAAGATAGAAAAATGCACTTAAGGCAATCTCCTGCTGGAACCGGGGAGCAAACTTGTGCTGCCGCTGCCATTCCGCCAAAGCATAGCAGCAGCAGTGCGGTGCCCTGGGGTGAGGGGCAGGGGCGCAACAGGGGCCCCTGCTTTCAACAAGCCGCAGTGGCTCGTTTTTGGATGGGGTCACAAACTAAGACCAGCTGCAGAAAAGGAGAGTGAACGCTTCTGATCCCCATGTACAGAGGAGCAGGTGCTCCATTCATGTGCGCCGATGCCACACGAAGAACCTTCTCATCAGGAGAAACTGGAACACGATTACCTTGTAGTCATCGCTTGTTGCAGCCACCGCTGAGCCAAAGGTGACTGTGTTGGACCAGCTGCCTTCTCCACCGGGGTAGTTGTTGCTGTTGCCCTGTTGGCTGGACCAGCGGTCTCCCTGGGTGCATTTCCCATAAATGTTGTTCTCGTGGACGCTGGCCACCAGGGTCCAGCCACCCCCACTGGTGGTCATGTCACAGAACGTCTGGTAGACCTCCCCTTCTTCTGTGGCCAAGTAGTACAGTCCATCTGCAGGGAGAAACCCCAACATCTGTGGATCAAAGCCCTCCTGCCATTTGTAGCGGCAACTAGACCCCAGTTGTGAGAGTCGTTCCTGTTCTGACTACCAAAAACTTGTTGGTCCCAATTTCATGGCGTGTGGGACACTGACTTTCCCGGCACAGCCAGGAATCAGTTAAACAAGTGCTTCTGCTCCAGAAGTCCGCTTCAGCAAGGCTTCTCCAGACAGTGAATTCAGTACCCAGTTTGTCAGGCAGAAGAACGTACCTGTAGGCATCGTATGCAAATCATTCTGCCTATTTCAGGCCTTTTCCAGTAGCTCTGAATAAAATCTACCTTTTCTAGCTCACACACCTGTGGCTCCTTCCAGTGCTGCTTTAATTTCCTTGCAGCTTCGAGGCAGAGTCTGGCTGAGGTGCGGTGGCGGGCCTTGCAGGTTCAAGAGGCAGGTGGCATTCTCCCATTTGGCCATCAGCTTGAGGATGTCCCGTTTCAGCGAAGTGTCGCAGCCATTGTCATCTGCACAGAAGGCAAGAATTAGGGCACCAGTCTTCAACTAATAGGTCAGAACCCCATAAGTGGATTATGGTCTGACATGAGGTATCAGCTAGAGCAAATTTTACATTGCTTTTACTGAGCAGGTTAGCTCACTGCTCACATGATTTCCACCTGCTCTTTCACCTTACCTGAGGTAACATTGGTATTCTGTGCCCTTAAAACTAGACAGGGTTATGTTAAAAATATTTCTGGAGTTAAGGCTGTGTCAGTGAGGCTGTGGATATATATCAATACATTAATCTATTTCAGCAAGGCGTCTTGGGGCATGTAGGCGCTCTGATTTTGGAGCAGGAAAAAGAGGGTTTCTGTTTTTTTATCCTTGTTAAGGATAAGTGAGAATTTTGGTTCAGTTCAGTTTTGATATGAATTTACCAACATTTGAAAGGTTCTCTACATTTGAGACAAAAAGAACTGGAAATTTAACAAAAACAAAAAACCAAATGTGGGGAAAACTGAAATAGACAGAATTTCCAGTCCAGGCTCAGGAGTCTGAATATGTAACTCTTAAAAGTCTTGGTCGGTACTCCATGTACTTTGTTTCACTGTGCAAAGAAGTACTTGCTCTCCCCCCCCCCCCCGCCCCCGAATCTCTGCTGATCAGCTTCCTGAAATGACCCTGCTCAGCTCCGGCTTTATGAGAGAGGGAGCAGATGTCTCCTTCATCACTTTCACCTCTCTGAGCATCATTTGGCACTTCCGTCATGTCTCCCCCACTCATCGTTTTCCTAAGCTAAACAAACCCAGGTATTTGTTGTGATGTTTCCCTGTGAGGAGTTGCTTCAGCCCTTCGATCACTTTAGCTGCCCCTTTTAAAAAAACTTTCCCAATTCTACAATGTCCTTTTAAAGGTATTTCTCTTAGGGAGCAAAAGTCGTTTGTGACGAGAAGGCGGGAAAGGTACCTGTACTTAGCCATTTAGGGTTGCTTCCCAAGAAAGGGGAGGCAGGAACCCACAGCCCCGGTCTCTGCAGCTGCTTGCCAAACTCACACAGTGGCCGACACTTTGTCACGGGGCCTCTGATGGAGGGCCCCACTGCCGCTGCAGCCAGCTTAATCGCTGGAGGAAACGTCTCCAAAAGGGAGCTTGAAAGCAGAAATGGAAAGGCTAAGGCTAAGATGGTTTCGGACTGCTTGCTGATTACGCAAAACTGCCGCAGTGCAAGCTCGGCTGGAACGTGCCCCACAGGCTTGCAAAGGGAGCGTCCGCGTCCAGGTCACCAGCAGAGCTAAGGAAAGAGTCAGAGATGAGGCTTCCTTCAGAAAATGGGCATCTTGCCCAAAGGAGGGAAGCAAGAAGGCGCATGTGCCGGCACAGAGATGAAAAATGCATTTCGGAGAGCACACCAGAAACACAGCAACAGAGCGAGGCCGAGGGGGTCTCCCAGGCCGTCTGGTCTGACCCCTGGCATAAGCCAGCCCTGCTCATGCAATCCCCTACATGTGGGCGTCCAGTCCTTCCTTGAATGTCCTCACACTGATGGGGCCTCCACCCCCTCCCACCAAAACCCATTCCATATCCTAGGGGTCCTAACCATTAGGAAGTACTTCCTGACATCCAAACTAAAACCTGGTTCCTTTAGCTTTGCCCCATTGGATCGCACCCTTCCCTCCACCACAGGGGAGAACTGGGCACAACCCTCTTACCTTCACATTCCTGTATGTCGCTATAAGAGCCCGTCTGAGTCTCCTCTTCTCCAGGCTGAAAAGACCCCGCTCCCTCAGCCTCACCTTGCATGGCACCCCCCCAGTCCAGCCGCCATCCTTGTGACCCTGCGCTGACCTGACTCCAACCTTGCTAGAACCGGACACAGTACTCCAACTGTGGGTACATCAGAGTCTTATAAGTGGTACCTGTGGCTCTCTTGATCTGGAAGCCGTGCTTTTGGCTATACATCCAAGGGTGGTGTTCGCCCACAGGTCACACTGCTGTGTCACGTACAGCCTGCTGTCGACCAGCACCCCGAGGTCCCTTTCGCAAGTGCTGCTCTGCAGCCACTTGTCCCCCACCCTGTACCTGTGACACCTATTCCTGAGTCCCGAATGCAAGACCTTCCCTCACCCACACTGAACGCCATCCTGTGGTCCCCTGCCCACTTCCACAGTCGGTCCAGGTCCTTGTGGACCTGGAGTGCCTGCTCCTCCTCTGTAGCCACCGCCTGCTTGCGAACCAGGCCAGGTGCCTTAAAGTCGCCCTGCACATTCTGGGCTGGGGGATGTTCCTAGTACTAGATTCATTTTGGAGCCAGGTACTGCCACCCCAGGTGCGTTGGTCTGCTTCTTTTTGGTTTCCTGCTCTGCTCAGCACCATGGTCCTTTCCTTTTGGCCGTGGCAACATGGCTGAGAGTTTCATTTTCAGTTGCCTTTTATAAGAACTTATCAATACAATCAATATCAATACTGTCCTGAGACTCTCGGTAAGAGGACAGTATAGAAAACTATTAAATAAATAAATACTTGCACATTTCTTCATAAGCAGCATGGAAAGTATTTGAGGTGGAGTTAAACACTGGAATGCCCGAGAAAGCAAAACTGACAGATTCAGCTCGCCTGTTGCCCAACCTTGCAATTCAGGGAAGCACAGAGCTTCTGCATGCGTTAAGAGCGGCCGTTTCCAAGCCCTGCCTTCCACTTACCACACTGATGGCCTTTTGGAAACATGAGCACACTCAGCAGAACGGCCACGAGTTGCTTCATCTTTCTGAGCTGGAAGATCAAAGGTCCATTAGAGCAGCCACATTGGTGCGCTCACCCAGACGCGCAGCATAAAACATGCCTCCCAAGCCCAAAAACGGGGGAATGTCCAGTCTGGCCCTTCTGCTCATCCCCGGTGCACTGGGTGCCATGCCAAAATTGTTACTCGGGCAAAGGCTGGATCGTGGGCAGATCGGGAGACGTTGGCTGCAGTCCTTTACCTGGGAGTAAGTCCAGCCGTACTGAGTAAGGTATACTTCCAAACAGATACGTACAGGATTGTGATATCAAATATTTTAAATTGGACTTTGGTTTTTTCCCTAAGTTGAGAATTTACATTTTCCATGTTCCTGCCCACGTCCCCAGGCAAGGTTCCCTGAGGAAAACGTGATGAAAGCAAAGAGGGGAACTATGTCCTGCTTTCAGCAGAATTTCTGCTGTTGTTTCCATGCCAAGGTTTGTGGACTAGAACTGGCTCTGTAACAGATAATTGTCCAGGACATTTGTCAGCTATTTATTAATAAACTTATTATTATCATCAGTTAATTTTTATACTTCCCCACATCTGAGCATTCTTGCCTTGATGCCAAAAATGGCAGCTCACAATGTAGAAATCCAGGACAACTTGTGAATTAAAGCACAGCCTGAAAAATAGGTCTCTCTCCCCGCATCCCCACAACCAGAGACAGGCAATGAATCAACAACACTCCACCAGTCAGAACTGCTTTCGGCTGCAGCGCAGCTGAAGTGCCGAAAGGCCGAACAGACGCACACTTGCCTGCTGACGAGGGGCCAGCGAGTGGGCCGGCCGGCTGGCCTGGGTGTAGGAGGCAGGGGAGCTAGCCAAGCGCCGGTCTTCCGCTCCAGAGGGACGCCGGATGGCTTAGCAGAAGCCCCTCGAGCAGGGTGCCGTGCCACGCAGCAGATCCCCCGCTCCGCAGGTCTGGCCAGTGGCTTGCCTCCTGTCATTCAGCAACAAGCACCACGGGCCAGAAGGCCCCTCGGAGGAGGAGCCCGTGCTGTGAGTTGGCTCCAACAAGTGTCCGCTTTGCTGCAGTGCCCGCCCTCCCCTCCATGTCACATCAAGCCACCGTCATTTCCACAAAAGCACCGCCTTCTCATCCCCAGGGGAACCATCCCAAACCGACGTCTACTCAGAGGGCCCCTCCACGGCCCCCCCCGCACTCGGCCCATCTCCTCCACAGTGCACCCCAGAAATGTCATACCCAAGCTCCCCTCCTCTCAAAACCCAGGGAACTATCCCCAAGCCCACTAATCGGTAATCCGCCTCATAGGAACTATTTCTCATCACAGAAGTACAGCTTGAGGGCGCCTGGGCAGTGGGAGGAGAGCTGTTCATGCCAGCCTGACCCCAGCGCCCTCTCCCAGCCTGACGGGCAGCACTCCGAGAAAGATGCAGGCAAATTGGAAAGGGACCAGCGAAGGGCAACCAAAATGATCCAGGGTTTGGAAGCACTGCCCTGTGAGGCGAGACTGAGAGAACTGGGCATGTTCAGCCTTGAGAAGAGAAGACTGAGGGGGGACATGATATCCCTCTAGAAGGACCTCAAAGGCTGTCACAGAGAAGAAGGTCAAGACCTCTTCTTGCTGAAACCAGAGTGCAGGACATGGAAGAATCAAGTGAAGTTGCGACAACCCAGGTTCAGGCTGGACATCAGCCTTCCTCGCTGTCAGAGCAATACGGCAGTGGGACCAGCTGCCTGGAGAGGTGGGGGCTCTCCCACATTCAGAAAGAAACTGGGCAGCCCTCTGAGTGGGACAGTGCAACCTGGTGTCCTGCACCAGCAGGGGGTGGACCTGATGGCCTTCCTGGCCCCTTCCAGCTCTACTATTAATGATTCTGTGATCAAGCTGGGGAAGCTGAAATGGGTCGTGGGTGTGGAGCCGATGGGAAGGTTGGCAATGGTGCGAGTTTGTCGTGCTTGTGAGTGGGGGCCTGGACCTGCTAGGGCAGGCAGAGGACGCTGGTGCTGGAGGCCACGGAGGTGATCCCATTTCCTCTCTGAATGCAGGCAGACATTTGCTTGCTGGTGGCTGGGAGACGTGATTTCAATCGCTGCCTCAATTCTGGCGAGGCTAAAGGGGCACCTCCCCAGTATTGGAGCAGTTCTGCAGCTCAGCAAGCTTCGACGTGTCTCTTCACCGGTCCAATTTGCTTTTCCCACCCCATTTTTCCATAATCTGTAGATACTTCTGTATTAGCCCATTTGGGCTTATGAGTGTGTGTGTAAAATTCGGTGGATAGAACTGAGGGTCATTATCAGATATAATTTCATGATACCTTCCATGGCTTTCTAGAATTGATTTGGTGACATGGATTGCAGTGGTCAGCTTAGTATCTGGTACATACTTTTGGTACTAACTATAATAGTTTGCTCTGATCAGATTTGGATGGCCATCCCTGGGTTGTTCAGCTCAGGCACTGTGAGGACCATGAGTACACACTGCATAGTCCTCATTTCCATTTCCATGGGCGAGTAGCGGCAGGACACCTGAAAGACTGCACGTTCCCAGGTCTTCCTGGGCTGAAGGAGCCCTCGCCACCATGAAAGCGTGTTCGGTGGGTCCCCGGGGGAGGACCTTCTCCCAGCAGAGGGGGGGCGCGCACCGCTGTCCTTGAGCACCCTCATGCTCCCAACCGCCCCGCAGGTGTTTGTGCATTGGGCAGATTTAGAGACCTGTAAAATGCAATCTGCTGAACATGCTTACAGAGCATTCATGACTCAACGTGCGTTCGTTCGTTCATTCGTTTTATATCCCTCTTTTTTTGTTTTAAAGAACTCAGTGTGGCTTCCATCATTCTCCTCCCGCTGCTCTCAATCTTATCTCCACAACAACAACCTTGTGAGGTAGGCTGGGCTGTGAGTCTGCAGCTGGCCCGAAGTCACTAGAGGGTTCCTGGGCCGCCTGGATCCCGGACCCGAGTTCTTCACCGCTGAGCCACTCCAGCTCCCAGGCCCTTAGTCCGACGCAGACCCCTCGCCTCGATGCCCAGCAGTCCACACCATGGCTGCCGATGGAGGGACACTGGGGCGCAGCTCCGTCATGTCTGCACGCATGTCCCACCCCCTCTTGGACTGTGCGTGCCTGGCAGGAAGCCCCTGCATAGCCAGCGTGGGCATGTCTGCAGCCCGAGGCACCAGGCGCCGGTTCCCACATGGGCCCTTGGTGTGCGGCAGGGGAACTTGAGAATTCTGAGCCCAGCTAGCCGAGTACCAGAATAGGAGTCCACAGTCCCACCACCCAAAAATCCACTCCTGAGCAGGTCAAGACCTGCTAGTACTCATAGAGCCAGAAAGAATGAAGCGACTGGGTCAAAGTCGAAAGGACACTCAGTTGCCGATGTATCTGGTGGTGAAAGGAGAGTCCAGTGCTGCAAAGATCTATACTCCATAGGAACCTGGAATGTAAGATCCATGAATCAAGGCAAGCTGGATGTGGTCAAACAAGAGATGACAAGACTGAACATCGACATCTTAGGAATCAGTGAACTAAAATGAACAGGAATGGGTGAATTTAATTCAGGTGACCATCAGGTATGCTACTGCGGGCAAGAATCCCTAAGAAGAAATGGAGTAGCCTTCATAGTCAATAAATGAGTAGGAAAAGCAGTACTGGGATACCATCTCCAACATGACCGAATTATCTCAGTTCGAATCCAAGGCAAACCATTCAACATCACAGGAGTCCAAGTCTCTGCCCCAACCACTGGTGCTGAAGAGGCTGAAGTTGACCAGTTCTATGAAGGCCTACAACACCTTCTAGAATTAACACCAAAAGATGATGTCTGTATCATCATGGGGGATTGGAATGCTAAAGTAGGAAGCTGAAAGATAACCGGAATAACAGGCAAGTTTGGCCTTGGAGTGCAAAATGAAGCAGGCACAGGCTGGTAGAATTTTGTCAAGAGAATACAATGGTCATAGTAAACACTCTTTTCCAACAAACCAACGGACAACTCTACACATGGACATCACCAGACGATCAACAAAAAAACCAGATTGATTATGTGCTCTGCAGCCAAAGATGGAGAAGCTCTGTACAGTCAGTAAAAACTAGACCAGGAGCTGACTGTGGCTCAGATCATGAGCTTCTCGTTGCAAAATGTAGGCTTAAGTTGAAGAAAGTAGGGAAAAGCACTAGGCCACTCAGGTATGACCTAAATCATATTCCTGATGAATATACAGTAGAGGTGACAAATAGATTTCAGGAATTAGATCTGATAGAGTGCCTGAAGAACTATGGACAGAGGTTCGCAACATTGTACAAGAGGCAGCAACTAAAACCATCCCAAAGAAAAAGAAATGCAAGAAAGCAAAATGGCTGTCCAAAGAAGCTCTACAAATAACTGAGGAAAGAAGGGAAGTGAAAGGCAAGGGAGAAGGAGAAAGATACAAACAAGTGAATGCAGAATTCCAGAGAATAGCTAGAAGAGATAAGAATGCTTTCTTAAATAACAGTGCAAAGAAATAGAAGAAAACAATAGAATAGGGAGGACCAGAGATCTCTTCAAGAAAATTGGAGATATGAAGGGAGCGCAAAAGTTGGCTTGAAACTCAACATTAAGAAAACCAAGATCATGGCATCTGGTGCACTCACTTCCTGGCAAATAGATGGGGAAGAAATGGAGGTAGTGACAGATTTTATTTTCCTGGGCTCCAAGATCACCGCAGCCAAGCAATTAAAAGACGCTTGTTCCTGGGGAGGAAGCTATGGCAGATCTAGACAGCATACTAAAAAGCAGAGACATCACCCTGCCAACAAAAGTGCGTATAGTCAAGGCTATGGTTTTCCCAGTTGCGATGTATGGCTGTGAAAGCTGGACCATAAGGAAGGCTGAGCGCCAAAGGATTGAGGCCTTTGAATTGTGGTGCTGGAGGAGACTTCTGCGAGTCCCTTGGACCGCAAGGCGATCAAACCGGTCAGTCCTAGAGGAGATCAACCCTGACTGCTCTTTAGAAGGCCAGACTCTGAAGATGAAACTCCAATACTTTGGCCACCTAATGAGAAGGAAGGACTCCCTGGAGAAGAGCCTGATGCTGGGGACAATAGATGGCAAAAGAAGAAGGGGATGGCAGAGGATGAGGGGGCTGGATGGGGTCACTGAAGCAGTCTTAAGTGGACTCCAGGGAATGGCAGAAGACAGGAAGGCCTGGAGGAATATTGTCCATGGGGTCGCGATGGGTCGGACACAACTTCGTGACTAACAACAACAACAATATTATTAATTGGTTTTAAATTTTTAGCCAGGATGTATCAGATTTTATATGTACTTATTTGTATGATTGTGTAATTATGATGTTGGAAGCCATCCCGAGGCTCATGCGAATGGGACGGCATACAAAAATTCCAAATAAATAAATGAATTATATACTTGAAAGGCTGCCACAAAGAGGAAGGCCAGGGTCTCTCCTCAAGCATCCCAGGACATGGAATGAGGGGCTCCGGTGACAGAAAGCCAGCTTCTGGCCAAGCATCAGGAAAAAGCTTCGGTGCAGCGAAGGATCCAATGATGCACCGAAGCCGTGGGCTCTCTCATGCTGGAGGCATTCGCAAGGCAGCCATTGCGAGGGACGGCTTTGCCTGGAGTCCTGCGCTTAGAAGGGAGTTGGGCCCAGTGGCCTTGCAGGCTCCTTCCAAGTCGGCTGTTCAATGATGCTGTGAATTCCTGTCTGTTATTAGTGGGGAAAGATTGAACCCATCAACGGTGCGTTGGAATCCTGCAATTGAAACATGGGGAAGCAAGTGCCCATAACCCTTCACAATCATTTGTAGTCACCCCTGCAATTATTGTTGATAGAATCATAGAATCAGAGAGCTGGAAGGGGCCAATAAGGCCATCAGACCCAAGCACCCAGACCAGACGTCAACAGTCTTTGGAGAAGGGTGGAGGCCGGAGAAGGCACAGCGCCACGGGAGGCCCCCGTTCTTCCACCGGGC